GATGGATAACATTCATGTAACAGTAGAAATCAACTATAATAAAATTTGTAGTTTTCATTTTCAAAGTGTATTTAATGTTTTCTACCCACCACTGTATTCACCAACTTCTCATAATTCTCTTTGTCAATGGAATAAAGTAGTTTCAAACCCAATCTAATATGATATGATCATACCAAATTAGATTTCAAACCAAATCTAATATAATCAATCTTTCATTCTCAATAAACTCCTTTCTTTGTAAAAAAACAAAAGCAAAAACAAAAACAAAACAAACCCATCTGAGATTTTCTCCTTCAGCTTCAGCTTACCTTCTACACGTAATCTATAATATCAACAGTCCTAATCTTCCTCAGTGAGAAAAAACAATAGTTCTGTTCTTTTGCACACTAACATCTCCATCCATGACTTTTATTTAGATTTCTAACAACAGCAACAATAATAGCTGTCACATATTGAATGGTCACCTGCACCAGTCACTAGGATAAGCACATTAAATAAGTTGCAACATTTAATCTTTACCATAATGCTTAATTATTCCCATTTAATAAGTGACAAAACCTAGGCTTGCCCAAGTTCACACAGCTAATAAAAGATAAATCCAAGTTTCAAACCCTAGTGGTCTAGTGTCAGATCATCCAAGGTTAGCATTGACCAAGACTTCCTTCTTTATTGCTAAACCTCAGTCTATTCCCATCATATTCCTCTTGATCTCTAAACATGCTCAAGTATTTTTATCTTAAAAATACCTTTCTTCAGTCTTGATTTCTCTTCAAACCATCACTCTAGTTTCTTCTATTTTATGATCAAGCTCCTTAGAAAAATAAGATGTATGTCCTAACTGCCTCCACTTTCTCATCTCCAATTCATTCATCAATCTTCTAGAGTCTACCTTATTCTCTCATTAATCTAATAAAATTGCCATCAATCACTTTACTGAGAACCAGCAGCCACCTGTCAATCCCATTATGATCAACCTCTCTGTGGTTTTCATTCTAGAGTCAACTTCTCTTGACTCATGACACTATTCTTATTGACTTTCCTCTTATTTCTTAAGTCCCCTATTTCTCAGTCTTATTTACTGTTCTATTTGTTTTTTTACTAAAATATTGGTCTCCTTGCCCTTTTCTCTCATCCCTCCCTCACACGCACCTCAATACAAAAACTTTAGAGAGCTGATCACCGTCCTGAAGAAGTTTACTAACTAGTTCACTGAGCAATACTATACACAACACTCCAAACACATTTACAGAACTTACAGTAACCAGATACAAATGACTATACAAAGCATTATGGTACATTAAGTGTTTGAGGAAGCACAGGATAGAAGATTCAGTTGATAAGGTAATTCATTAAGGTAGATTTCTCAGAGGAGCTGTGTGTTGAAGAACCTGTGGAAAATGAATTCTCTCTCTCATCTACTTAACTTGGAAAAGATCATTCATTTTCCTTCATTCTCAAAGACAGCCAAAGAAAACAACTCAGCTGGCTGCTTTAGTAATCAATCCTGTATGTTTAATGATCCTTACTATTTTAATTTAGTGATCCATGAAATCATAAAAAAAAAAAGTGGTGGAATTCAAATTCATAGTCTTTACCATCACTTTGCACATGATCCATATTATAACCAATTAAATAAAATTTTCTCATTTTTATCAAATGCTGGAATAGGTAGATTTGAAGATGGCTGACTATCATTTTTACAAATGACTTATTCATGTGCTCAAAGCCATCCTATGGATTTCCTACATTTCTTTGTCTTCTCCAGGCCCCACAGTCATAGTGTCATAAATATCCAGAGTTGCTGTCCCACAGAGTTGTTTTAAACACCATTTTTTTTATTAGCAGTGTAACCTTCTGTTTATTACTTGAAATGAGTCTTCATTTTTTCCTATACATGGTAGGAACAATTACACACACATACAATTAGGATATTGTGAGAATCAATGAGATAATATGTATGAAAGAGCCTGACCTAAAGAGGGTACTCACTAAACACTGGTCTCCCTTACTTCCATTTCCATTGCAAATTGGGACTATTTTCCTTTGCCTATCTTATCCTTCATTTATATAGCAAATAAAGCATTAACTTTGAAAAACAATCTTTAAATCAAGTTGTTTACAATTTGTTGGCATTATGAATATATGGTAATATGTCTTGCACCTCTAGCATAGTGTGTTTGATATTCCCAAGAAAACTTAAATACATATATCTTCTGTTGAAGTCATTGTGTACTATCAGTGTAAGAATTATGGTAAAAATAATTATGAAGAAATTGCCAATCTATCACTATGATGGCTCTGCACACTTTCCTGATGTTTATTCATTCTTTTCTATTTTAATTAAAGAAATATTATATGTCTTTTAGTATAGAGAAGGTAGTAAAATTAAAAATCCAAGTAGGAAAATGTGCAAGGAAAATTATGCCTATGAGAATTTAGTGGAAACTAAAATTTGAAAACACATGTGCTGTGGGAATCCATATAAAATATGGAAAAGACCTTCATAGAAAAAAATAGTTAAGTTACTAAGATATCTCTAAAATGCAGTAAGAATGAGATGTTGGTATAGAGAAAGCTTAAAATTGGTAGCCTTTGAGGAGCTCTAAGGTAGGCCAAGATTAATTTAATGATAAAATGTAGTGCTTTTGGGGAAAATAAAATGAATGTACTTTTTTTTTTTTGGTCCACTAAAAATGGCTTCTTTTCTAGAAGAAAAAGAAATGGATTTGAAGACGATCAATATTACTTGTGGAACAGAAGAAACATGTAACTTATAAAACCAAGTCCATTTGGGATTCATTCCGAAGGTGAGGAAAGTGGCAAATGTTAGGAGAACCCTCCATCAGCTATAATTCATATCTCCCTATAAACTGGGATGGGACCTACAGGCTACAGAAAAAATGAATATAGCTCTATATTAAAAAAGGACCTTTAAACCATAATGAAGGTCTTGTTACTTTTATTTTCAGAGAGCAACAGTTTTATAGAATATGCTAGAATTTTTTTCTCTGACCCATTTTATCTCACAGTTTTCAGTTATTGGCTCTAAATGATACATCTCCTTTAGCAATTTCTAAATTTTTAAAGTTAACATTGCTTTGCATTTAAGATGCTTTGGCAGGGACTGTAATGAGAATTTTAAATTTGAGCAAAACCTCTTGAAGTTCTAAATGAGGCCATCAAAGAGAACATTCAACAGATGGAAACAGTGATTGATCTAAAGCCTCGAGTCTTGTTTTTAATCTCTTGTTTTCCAGCAAAGAGAAATTTTACAGAATCTTCTCTCTTCCTAAAGACTTAAACTAAAATAGATAGTTAAAATAGAGATACTACACTCTAAGGATATTTATAGAATGGAAAGTAAAAAACCTTATGTCCAATCCCAATCAAGAAATAGGATACTCTAAAAAGAATGTGGATACCTCTAGTTAGGGTTCCTGTTCTGTTGCTACTCCTAAATTAATTTTTCACTGCTGGATGGAGGGCAGTCCCCAGAATTCTCATGCCTTTAGATTGCTCACCAAGATCTATGACTTCCTCTGATTCCTTGAGACACTGCTAGCCTGCACTTATCAGCTCCCTTCCACCTACAGAGAGCTTCTCCTCACTTTCTCCTTTTCCCATATACCAGCTGAGTAGAGATGATGCTGAGAATGTAAAGGAAGGCAGAGGTACAGCTATAAACAGTCTGGATGCTCAATACACCTCATGGATGCTAAGCTTTTCTATAAGTAATAAATAAATTTTGGCAACCATCAGTTTGTTCTCTGTATTTGCAGGTTGCCAAATTAGTATGTAAGGTTTTTGTGTATCAATTATATTTCAATAAAGTTATTTTTAAAATTTTAAAATACTAAAAAAATTAGCTTCATACAACATCTACTACATGCAACTTTTGATAAATAGTATTCAATTATAGAATGCAATATCATACCAGCACATGATACATTATAGGTATTCAGTAAATGTTTGTTAAATTTTACTGCTTTTTAACACAGTGATTTTCCTCAGTAATAATTTCTCAAATAAAACTTGGATAAAAATTTAAAAAAAAACAAAATAAATAAACTCTCATTGTGTTAAGCAACTAAAATGTTGCAGTTAGGCTAACTATTGCAGTTAGCCTAAACTTTTCACACCATATCCTGAGAATTCCACACAAACATACAGAGTGAGAAAATTTGGAAAACAGACCAGCTATTTGAGATAATTTCACAAGTAAAATCTCTGTCTGATGTGGGTTTAAAGGTTTTTAATGTTCTTAGGGAAAACAATAACCAACCCTATCATTAGTGTCTGTAATGGTTAATTTTATGTGTCAAGTTGGCTAGACCACAGAGCCCAGATATTTGGTAAAACACATCTGGATGTTGGTATGAAGGTATTTTTTAAGATGAAATTAATATTTAAATCAGTAGATTTTTGAGTAAAGCAAATTACCCTCCATAATGTGAGTGGGTCCCATCCAATCAGTTGAAGGTATTAAGAAAAAGAATGACCTACCCTGAAGTAAAAGGAATTTTATCATTGGACTGTTTTTGGATTCAGTTTCAGCATCAACTCTTCCATGAGTCTCTAGCCTATTGTCCAACCTTGTAAATTTCGGACTTGCCAGCCTCCATAATCATGTGAACCAAATCCTTATAATGCATCTTTCTCTCTCGCTCTCTATCGTGTGTGTGTATGTGTGTGTATATGTGTCCATTTTAAAATAAATCAGATCAAATTTGAAAAAACATATCATTACCAATTAGTCAATGTCAAGTAAAATGGCATTCTAGGTTCAGTTTGGAATTAATACACTTAACATAGAAATATGTTTAGATGTTTTTTATGAGTCTTGCTACTGTTTATTGTATCCAAATTTGTCTCATTTTTTTTCAATTACAATTAGAAACAATGAGTTAAAATTTAAAAAGGCTGACCCCAGAAAGTTCAAACAGAAAAACATATGCACATGAACTGAGAGCAGTAAACCTTTTTTGAAAATTACTTACTGAGTGTTCACTTCAGCAGCACGTATACTAAAACTGGAACAAAACAGAGAAGATTACCATGACCCCTGTGCAAGGATGACACAAAAACTATTTATTGGACATCTCATATTGGGCACTGTGTTAAGCATGGGTAATGTAAAATTTGTAGAAACATGGTTCCTGTCTATGGTAAGTCAGGTTTTCCAAAAATAGCAATAACAATACCTCTTAACCCTCATGCTCTTTGACTATATAAGTATGATATTCCCCCCATCAGGAGGCAGTCTGTCTCCTTCTCTTGAATCTAGATGACATTTTACCTCAACAAACACAGTATGTCAGAAGTAATAAAATGTGATTTTAACACAAGAATATAACAATGCTATGTTCTTCTGCCTTACTCTCTTGAGACTCTTACTTTGAGGGAAGCCAGATGCCATGTAAGCAGTCTAACAACCCTAAGATTTCTATGCTGAGCCCAAACTACTTCACATGGAGAGGAAGATGGCAGCAGAGTAGGAGGACCCTAGACTCACTTTGTCCCATGAATACAACTAGATAACTATCAAATCATCCTAAATACTCCAGAAATTGACCTGAGGGCTGGCTGAACAAATCAGGAGAGGTTATTTGTTCATCTCAGAGTGTGTCCCAGGGAGGCAGCATTCACAGAAATTCCTCCAAGAACAAAGGAACTGGCAGGTGCCATTTACCTCCTCTTACACCTTAGCATAAGCACAGGGTCACCTGCGGGAACCAGCATAGCACCATTCACTTGCTACCTAACTTGTTACACCAAGCTCTGACCTCATTGAGATCCAGTGGAACTGCCCTTTCCAGCAATGCCTGACTCAGTGCCAGCATGGTGGGCCCCTCCTCCAAAAGACAGCCTAAACGCCTGCCCATACGTGTCTCCCAACCAAGGAGTTTTTCAGGACCTCAGCTGCAGCAGCAGTGGTGACAGGTCTCATTTCACACATGCACAAGAGCATATTAACTTAAAACTCACCATTTAGGTCATGGACCAAACACTACCCACAACAGACAGAAAACCTCTATAGATGACTGGTTTGAAGAATAGAACAGCCAAAACAAAATAGCAGAGCACACACATCGCACACTGGAGACCTAAAGACTAGGTCCTGGGGAGCAGGGGACACCAGACTGAACTACAGGACTTGTTCTCCATAAGGACATTACGCTCAAGAAAAGGAGATGTAGCTGACTTTCCTAACATAGAAGCAGGCATAGAGACTTAGGCAAAATGAGAAGACAGAGAAATCTGTCCCAAATGAAAGAACAGGACAAGGCCACACACAGAGATCTAAGTCAAACAGATATAAGTAACGTACCTGATAGAGAATTTATTTTTTCTAAAGATTTATTTATTTATTTATTTATTTACTTATTTATTTATTTATTTTAGAGAGCGGGAGCGCATGAGCAGGAGGAGGGGCAGAGGGAGAAGAAGAGAATTCTCAAGCAAACTCCCCATTGAGCATGGAGCACACTTGATGGGACGAAGAGCAGGCTGGAAGAAGCAGAGGAACAAATTGGTGACCTAGAAGACAAAGTAATGGAAAGTAATCAAGATGAACAAAAGAGAGAGGGGAAACGTTATTTAAGCAAAATGAAAATAGACTTATGGAACTCAGTGACTCCATCAAACATAATAATATTCACATTATAGAAGTCCCAGAAGAAGAGAGTGAAAAGAGGGCAGAAAATGTATTGGAGGAGATAAGAGCTGAAAACTTCCCTATTCTGGGGAAGGAAACAGATATCCACATCCAGAAGGCAGGGAGAAACACACCCCCAAAAAATCAAGCAGATCTACCCCAAGGCATATAATTAAAATGGCAAAATATAGTGATAAATAAAAAAATATTAAAAACAGCAAGACAAGAAAGAAAGAAAGAAAGCCAGTTACATACAAGGGAAACCCCATAAAACCATCAAGGGATTTTCAGCAGAAACTTTCCAAGCCAGTAGAGAGTGGAATGATATATTGGAAGTTCTGAATAGGAAAAATCTGCAGCCAAAAACCTCTAGCCAGCAAGGTTATCATTCAGAACAGAAGGAGAGATAAAGAGAATCCCAGAAAAACAAAATTTAAAGGAGTGGTCAAGAGACCACTAAACAGCCCTGCAAGAAATATTAAAGGGGACTCTTTAAATGGAAAGGAAAGACCAAAAGTTACATTTTAAAGGTAGGAAACACAAAAGCAGTAAAAATGGAAATTTTTTTAAAATACCAGTCAAGGAAATCACAAAATAAAATTATGTAAAAGATGACATATACCTAAAACATGGGAAGTAGAAAAGTAAAGAAGGGGTTCAAAATTAAATGACTATTGACTTAATATAGACGGCTATATGCAGAAGATAGTATATACAAACCTAATGGTAACCACAAATCAAAAACCCCTAATAAACTTTCAAAGAATAAAAAGAAAGAAAACCAAATATATCAGTAAAGAAAACCAGCAAACCATGAAAGAAAGACAAAAAGGATCAGACAAATCTTCAGAAACAACCACAAAACAGGTAATAAAATGGCAATAAACATGTATCTATCAATAATTACTTTGAATGTAAATGGACTAAACACTCCAGTTAAAAGACATAGGATGACAAAAGAAAAAAAAAAAAGACTCATTTATATGCTGCTTACAAGAGACTCATTTTAGACCTAAAGACACCTGCAGATTGAAAGTGAGGGGAGAGAAAAATATTTATCATGCGAATGGATGTCAAAAGAAAGCCAAAGTGGCAATATTTATATCAGACAAACTAGACTTTAAACAAAGACTGTAACAAGACAAAGGACACTATATAACAATAAAGGAACAATCCAACAAGAAGATGTAATTGCAAATATTTATGCATCCAATACAGGAGCACCCAAATACATGAAATAGTTAATACTAAACATAAAGGAACTAATTGATAATAATACAATAATAGTAGGGGACTTTAACAACTCACTTACATCAATAGATCATCTAAACAGAAAATCAACAAGGAAACAATGGCTTTGAATGACACACTGGAACAGATGGACTTAACAGATATATTCAGAATGTTCCATCCCCAAACAGCAGAATACACATTCTTCTCAAGTGCACATGGAACATTTTCCAGAATAGATCACATATTGGGCCACAAAACAAACCTCAACATATTCAAAAAGATCAAAATCATACCATGCACCTTTTCTGACCATAACGTTATGAAACTAAAAGTCAGTCACAAGGAAAAAAATCTGGGGAGACCACAAATACATGGAGGTTAAATAACATGCTACTAATCAATGAATGGGTCAACCAGGAAATCAAAGAAGAAATTTAAAAAGTATGTGGAAACAAATGAAAATGAAAACACAATGGTTCAAAATCCTAGGGATGCAGCAAAAGCAATTCTAAAAGGGAAGTTTATAGTGATACAGGCCTACCTCTGGAAGCAAGTAAAATCACAAACGTTCTAATCTTACAACTAAAGGAGCTAGAAAAATAACAACAAACAAAATCTAAAACCAGCAGAAGGAAATAATAAAGATTAGAGCAGATATAAATAATATAGAAAAAAATAACAACAATAATAGAACAGATCAATGAAACCAGGGGTTGGATCTTTGAAAAAAATCAGTAAAACTGATAAACCTCTAGCTAGATTTATCAAGAAAAGAAGAGAAGGGATCCAAAATAAATAAAATCACAAACAAGAGAGGAGAAGTAATAACAAGCACCACAGAAATACAAACAATTATGAGAATATTATGAAAAACTATATGCCAACAAATTGGAAACCTTGAAAAAAATGGATAAATTTCTTATTTTTAAAAGATTTTATTTATTTATTTGTTGGAGAGAGAGAGCACAAGCAAGGGGAATGGTAGGCAGAGGGAGAAGCAGGCCCCCCACTGAGCAGGAGCCTGATGTGGGATTTGATCCCTGGGATCATAACCTGAGCCAAAGGCAGATGCTTAACCAACTGAGCCACCCAGGCATCCTGAAATGGATAAATTTCTAAAATCATATAACCTACCAAAACCGAAATTGGACGAAATAGAAAATTTGAACAGAATGATTACCAGCAAAGAAATGGAATCAGAATCAAAAAACTCCCAACAAGGAAAATTCAGGACCAGATGATTTCACAGGCAAATTTTACCAAACATGTAAGGAGGAATTAATACCTATTCTGTTCAAACTATTTCAAAAAATAGAAGAGGAAGGAAAACTTCCAAATTCGTTCTGGAGACCGGCATTTCCCTAATACCAAAACCAGATAAAGACACCACAAAGAAAGAGAACTATAGGCCAATATCTCTGATGAACAAAGATGCAAAAATCCTCAACAAAATACTAGCATACCAATCCAACAATACATTAAAAAAATCATTCATCATGATCAAGTGGGATATATTCCTGGGTTGCAAGAGTGGGTTCAATACTCACAAATCAATCAACATGATATATCACATCAATAAGAGAAAGGATAAGAATCATATGATCATTTCACTAGATGCAGAAAAAGCATGTGGCAAAGTACAACATCCATTCATGATAAAAAAAAAAAAAACAAAGCCTCAACAAAAACCCTTAACAAAAACAACAAAACAAAAACAAAAACCCTTAACAAAGTAGGTTTAGAGTTATAAAGGTCATATATGAAAAACCCACACTAACATCATCCTCAATAGGGAAAAACTGAGAGCTTTTCTCCTAAAGTCAGGAACAAGACAATGATGTCCATTCTCACCAGTTTTATTCAACATAGTATTGGAAGTCCTAGCCACAGCAATCAGACAACAAAAACAAATAAAAAGCATACAAATTGGTAAGGAAGAAGTAAAACTTTCACTATTTTCAGATAACATGATGCTATGTACAGAAAACCCAAAAGACCCCACCAAAAAACTGCTAGAACTAATAAGTGAACTCAGTAAAGTCGCAGGATACAAAATCAATGAGCAGAAGTCTGTTGCATTTCTATACACTGATAACAAAGAAGAAGAGAAATTAAGAAAACAATTCCATTTACAATTGCACTAAAAATATATGATACTTAGGAATAAACCGAATCAAAGAGGTGAAAAGACCTATACCCTGAAAATTATAAAACACTGA